TGTAGTCCAGCTACAGGTTTCTGAAACTTTAAAGAAAGAGGGCCAAGAGTTTTAGCATCTCTCCTGTGGAGGACTTGTGCATCAGTTGGGTACTTATGACCCTCACAAAAAGATTAGAAACGCCTTTTATATTTGGGAGTTAAAACAGTACAATGGCCAAAATATCACCCGATACCTATAATACGTTGATTATATCTTGCATCCCTAAACCTTTGTGTATATTTCCCATAACAAGACCACCTGACCGATAAGGTTTTGCACATATGTGCAATAAGTAAACAATGAATTAATGTAACCATAGAACTCTCAGCAAAGCTGTGAAAGGACAAAGGAAAAGTCCATGATCAAGTGTGAAAAGAGCAAAGTAAAATATCGGATACTAAAAATTCAATAGAGCTGATTATTGCACTGGGATCACTCTGGTTATATGAACTGTGAATCTACTCCCTCCCTGAATCAGTAACAGAGAGTCTTCTGACCAGGCATCTTCAGCACAACTTAACTCACTTGGACAAAACCTTTTTAACCAGGTACCAAAATTGTTATGGAACCAAGTAGGGCTCAAACAATTGATCAGATTAATCATGATTAATCGATTATTGACATAATCGAGTATAGACTCACTAAAACATACCTTTAGCTGACAGAGACCCACTTAGAGCAGTTATAATATTAAAATTGTAAAAAAAATATATAAACATCTTGCAAAAAGGGATGTGTGTATGTACGGATGGATGGAAGACTTCCTCTATAAATCAGGGCTCTAACTTCCATGCTTCCTAAAGCAGGAATGCCGGGCCAGCAAGTTCACATCCTGCTAAACAGCACTTTAAGATCCAAACACAACGGCTACTGAGGGTGGACAGAGGAAACCTCAAATGATCACTTCCTCTGTTTAAGAATGGTCTGACATCACTTTCTAGCAACGCGTCCCATGACTGAGTGACACCAATTATGTAATGTTGGGACAACTCTGGGAGTTGTCCCGTCGCTGTCCCTTTAGAAACGTTTTGTGTTTCTTGGTGTATCGAAGGAAACGACAAGCACAGGTGGGGTGAATAAATCTGAGATTTTAAGAGGAAGAAAAACAACAAAAAGAGAAGAAAGAGTTGCTCTGCTTCACAGTAACTGTCAGGAGTGATTATGAGCTCTCCGCTTTACGTTCTGATCTACTTTAAACACCTTCAGACAGGAAAGGCAGCGCAGGGAGCCGAGCTGCCATCAGGGAGAGGCTTGTAATCATTTCTGAAAGCGTACAGTAACCTACATCTGGGAAGTCTCTGCACACACAGGAGCCTGTCTTCGGATGGGCGCCTGTTGGATCAGTCGGCTGAATGAGCCCCTCTGGGTTTTTAATACCACCTGAAGATGGAGTGTCGGTATCATCTTCTCTTTCGACAGGTAGAAACCCTCATCAAATATCCAGTTTATGTTTCATGGCCTAAAAGAACTGCCAGGGAGTCCAGGAAAGAGAGAGGCCGTGTTATTTCAGCCTAGAGAAAAAAATTACCTGCTTTTAAGAGAAACATATCAAGGCTGCATCGATTGTCAATTGAACACTTGAATGGCCAAACTTATCATGAAGTTTCTAACATTTTGTCCCTCCCGTGTGTGCAAACCATCGAAAAAGCACAACAGATGACAGAGAAGTATTTAAAGAAAAAGAGAAATCATCATCGGCCTTTTATAATTCCTTCCAAGGAATTATTATTTAGAAGAAAGAGAAACATTTAGAGATTTAACTTCCTGAAAAATACATTTTAGGTCAATTGAAGCAAAGATGAGTGAAAGTTATTCATTTTGTTTGGGTGAACAAAGAGGGAAAAAAAGTTGAATCTACAGGTTTCAAATGGGACAGATGTGCCTAGAAATTAAAATTATCACATGAATCAGAAAGCAGTTCTTTAATTAAGTTATCTGCATGTATTCCACGTTAAAAATGCTTTTTAATTTAAAGTTGAATGGATAGAGGCGGTCTAGTGGTTAGGACATAGAGCTTGGAATCCTGAGGTTCTGAGTTCGAGCCCCATTCCCACAGACTGCCACTCTGAGCAAGACCCTTACCCCCACACTGCTCCCCGGGTGCCGCACAATGGCAGCCCACTCCAGGGGGATGGGCTAAATGCAGATGTAAGCCCTCTAGGGTCCTGGTGTCTAACTCTGCATGGGAGAGGCAATTTAAGATTTTGCATAGGCTTTATATCACTCATGTACTGTAGATAGACACAGATTTGATTCAAACCTTTCAGATCTCTGTAATAAATGTCAATCTGTTGCAGGTTCATTTATTCATGGTCTATGGAGCTGCTCTCATATCCAACAGTTTTGGAGTATAATTGTTCAACAGCTAAGTCTGATTTTCAAATGTCATCTACATCTGAGTGCAAGGACCTGCATATTAGGACTGGAAGATGACCTGCCAGTTGATTTTCGCCACAGAGACCTTTTACATATTCTGCTGCACTGCGCCCGGAAATGTATCTTGGCCTTGTGGATCACTGACAAACCCACCCCTCCTCTAAACCAGTGGAAACAAACTGTGACTGGTATCATTCCATTTGAGGCTTCTTCTATGGCATTAAAGGACAAACCTGTTGTATTTTATCGGACCTGGGACCCATTTCTGGGCTACCATGATGTCGCCACATCTCACAGGGTGAGGTCAGCGCTTATGGACCTGGCCTGGGAAAAAGACCCAAAGTTAAAGTGTGACAAGCTATCATATTTGAGTGGATATTATTTATTTATATATTTTGGTCTCCCTGATTACTTATTGTTTTGTTTTTCCTCTTTTGTTTAATTGTTTTATTTTATTTATTTATTTGTTTTGTGTATGTTGTTTATTATGTTACGCTTGAATGTCTGTATCTTGCTGTGTTAAATAAAAGTTTAATAAAAACAAAGTAAAAAATAAAAAAAGCAGAGGTAAATTTCTCCAATGTGAGATTAATAAAGTTCAATAAAAAAAGACAGCTGTAAATAAAGAATGAAAGAACAGATAAGCAGATCAATATAAAAGCAGAGGAAATAAAGCGATGAGCTGATTGGCAAAAATTGATGGGTACAACTTGTAACATTGAGCTAAATCTTTTTTTTTTTTTTTTTTTTTATATATATACACATTTCCTTTTTAAATCTAAGCAGGCCGATTTCTATAGCGTATTTAGGAAGGCTCAGGATTTCTTTCCTAATAAAGCCTCCTGTAACCTTAACAGGACCCTGGTGACCGCAGTGTGAGGTGGCTGCAGGACACACAGCACCAAGCAAGCAACCCTATAGGTGACCATCAGCTGAGGTTATGCAACCACAACTCACACTGTAGCTGTGCCTGCAGGCCAAACCATACATATCTATATTTTTAAAAACTCCTTCACAGGTAGTAGAGGTGAACAGAGTCAATAACAAAACCATCAGGTTACAACTACCGGGGATATAAAATGAAAATGGTTGCAGTTTTTTTGTGTGTGTTTGTTATGATGTTAGCTTTAGCTGACTTTTCCTCACATCTGCACCAGCCACCCTGAGAGAAAGGCCACCTTTAACTTTCATACTAAACGTCAAATAAATAGTGAGTGAAAGTTAAAATGCAGATGGCTGAGGAAACCTTCTGAGCGGTTTGGCAGCAGGCTGGAGCGGCTGGGTTTCCAGCCCCGGTGATTCAGCGGGCAGTCGTGCGCGCGGTGACGGCGGAGGCTCGTTGCTCACGCGGACACCAACACCGTTACCGCCTCGGTGGTCAGGTTGTAGGATTATAGTGATAATAATCACATTAAAATGATTTACATTTATGAAAATTATCTAGGAGTATATTTCCCCTCTTTATTTCATCTACTAGCAGTTTTAGCTGCAGCTTATAACGTAGCGGAGAGCGTGTAAATGGCGTAGAAATCAGTAACCGTTACGACACCTTTTAGGGATTCTTCACACTTAAAAGAAAAAAAAAAAACTTAAAATGTCGTAAAAACCTTCCGCTCACTTTGCTAACATCAAGTTGCCGTTGCAATGGCGGTTTTAGAGCCAAGTAGACCAGAAAAACAAATCCGGTTACTCACCAGAGGAATCCTCATCCTTTCTTTTTTTTTTTTTCTTACGTAGATTCCCGAGCGGCTCCTCTGTTTTGTCCCTTCATAGCTAATCGCCTTTGGAAGCTATTTTTGAGTCTCACTGTTTAGACTTCCCTCCTCCGTCTGCTCGACTCGAACCGCACTACTCGAAAAGTGCAGCCGTTATCCTGCTGTAGTTGTGCAGAGGATCCTCCCCCCCAAAGGCTCAATACTGGGAAAATAGGGAGAAATTGTATTAGCTAGAATGGACACATCCCACTTCCGGTTTTGCCTTTCAAAATAATACTACCTTCGTTATTTATTAACGTTTTTGTGTTTTGTATTTTTCATTGAAATTTTGTATGGTACACACATAAGTAAATAATCATCGATTGATTTCCAAACTCTTTAAAAAGCTGAATTGAATTTGTATTCAACCCACTCACATAGACAAATAACCAGTGACCCAGTGACCAGGGTGGGGTCATTGCTTCTTTTCATAGGGACACATAAAAAAGGAATTACAAACGTACCAAAAAAAAGGAAAGAGGCTAAAAGCACAATGTTTAGGATTTAAGTAAGCCATAAACTAAAAGGTTGCAGACCACTGATCTAGCTGAAGCTTTACGATTATTGTAATTTAGAAATAACTGCCAAAGTTAATAGTAAAGGAAAAATGTGTATTTGGTCCAAGGGTTGAATCAGTTACAGTCTATTCTCCCAGCGTTCATTATCATAAGAAATAAATTTAGTGTCACGCTAATAAGCCATTTTTTTAAATTAGTATGCATGCCGTTTTAAAAAAAGATGTGTATATGATGCAATTGAAATAAGAAAATAGATTTTTTTTTTTGTATTTCAATTGTAAATCATCATATTCTACTGGCGAAATGCCTTACCTACCCACCACAGAGAAAATGCACATATTTGAAGAGAAAATAGTTTCAGCAGCATTTGTTTTCAGTACAGGGGCCATAACATGGGCCAGGCCCCTGTCAAGAATCCCCTATACAACTAAACTGCATTGTCCCTGTTTGGGGAAATGTATTTATATGAAACCCATATGAAAGCATATGTAGATATACACAAAGGTAACAAGTTGTTAGATGTAGCATAAGTCAAAAAGAGTAATTCCTTATCAAAAAGTAAAAGTTTTTTTTTTTTTTTTTTAAAGCCCTGTTTTTGTTTCATATTTTTGTTCTTCGGCCCTGTGCAAAAGAAACCCTGGTAAATTTGGTCTAGAACAGTTTATCTTTGTAAGTATTAAACCTTTCTAATTGTTTTTTTTTTTTTTTTTTTTTTTTTTTTTTT